ACACTGTGGGAAAAAAGTGTTAAAGCAAAGGGGAAAATATGATAATGATGATGTAAATAAAATCACATAATGAATCACATTGAAGTCCTAGCAGTGTCAGCAACCAAACAGCCGTGCATCAGTTATATTGATAATATAAAATAATAATAATTAAGAAAACATTTTATCTTATTGTTCTGGAAATGGGTCAAATAACCCAGCGAGTTACAGTGAGTGTGACAGTGTCGAGTAAAAAAAAAAAAAAAAGGAGCTCAGTTGAGCACTCGTAACTCAATGTTTTTCTCAAAGAAAATCAAAGAAAAGCAAACGTTGCTTACTCGTATTTTGAACCCATGTCAATAACGTGACCATACATAATTGTATGTATAATTTTGAAATACAAGATGATAACCTCTTCAGGAAAACCATTATACTGATTATATAATAGGTGTAACCTATTATACTACTATATAACATCTTCTAATGCTACCTCTATCAAAACAGTCACTGAGAAAAATATGTATTTTGAACATTGGCTAGATTTTTGGATCAGGCTTTGAGAATTTTTAGGCTACGAGGAACTTATTAGCCTTGAGAGGTGTTTAACAGAAGCTACAAGAGCATACGTGTCCGAAACTGACGTTTCCACTCATCATAATGCCAAACCAGAATTCGTTGCACTCAACGTTGATTATACTGTAAAACTATATAATGCAAAAACACTACCGGTATGTAGCTCTTCGGTGGAGAAAAAATAGCAAAACACACATAATTAGATATTGACAGGTGACGGTGTAATAAACAGTAGAGGGTTTTTTTTAATAAGTAGAGAAAATTTTAGAATAATGACAACAAAGGTACAACAAACCGGAACAACGGCGATATCAGAGAGCCTACCTGGACTTTTGAGGTTATATTTATTTTCCATCCTGACAAGTGTCGAGTTGAAAGGAAAAGTGCATTGGTTTTATTTTCGCTCTATTGTAAGCTACCTAGCAGCTATTAGCTTATGTTAGCGGCACAAGCTTTATTTTAGCTCTAGACAACGGAGCCGAGGGCCGTTCACTCCTACCGCAACACAGTGTCTTTACGTAAGTCGGTGAGTCTTCACTAAATTACAGAAAAAAACTGTAGTTATCAAGTTATCGCTTCTTTCGGTGACTGAAACTATTTGGGCTTTTATCAACGTGACGTCATTCGTAGATACGTAAACAGGAAGTAAGTGCGGTTTTGTTTTTAACCGAACGGATTTGCTAAAAGCCCCGCCATCTCTGTTCTTTGATTGGCTCTGACCGTCACTCTCTCTGAATGACAACCAATTATCTATCTTCACGTCAAAGTCCAAACCAAATACATACAAATGTGTATATTTATTCTATTGTGTTTTCTAACCTTCGAATAGCTGAAATAGCTAAACGTTTTTTGTTTTTTTCAGGAAATATCATAACCAGCGATTGTGTAGACTTAATTTTTTAAAAATATATTCTGCTTTAAATGAGCTTTAAAATTGCAGAATTGCTAGAGAAAAACTATCAGTTTTATTTATATGCATTACGAAAAGGAAATGGATGGGATCACCATGCAAATGCCACAGAAAGGGCTGCAGTTTGTCTTTAGGCTTCACTGCCCAGCTTCACATTTTATATTTTTCAAAACCCATATCAATAAATTTGTCAGGTATAGACCTTGCAGTAAAAAAAAAACGAAAGGACAACCACAAAAATAAATACACTGCTGCTGGAGCACATGAGGATAAAATGGCACATATTAACAATTGATATATTTACTACATATATTTATGTGTGTGTGTGTGGATTAGGTTTGAGTATTGCTAAGGGTATTAACAATTGATATATTTACTACATATATATGTGTGTGTGTGTGGATTAGATTTAAGTATTGCTAAGGGTATTTTTTTTATCATTAACTGTATCTTGCAAAGTTTTAGATTTGGTTCATCTTTTTGAGAAATGTATACGTGAAGAAAATTCAAATTTATTTTGAAAACTTTTAAATAGTTTCACATCCTAGTTGGTTATTCTACACTGTCTTATTTTATTAAGATATTTATTTGTACAATCTTGTAGATGTTTTAAATTTCAGCAGCTTTTATGTCATTTTTGTGGTATGTGCTGTATGCATAGTTAGCAAGCTAGCTAACTAGCTAGCCATCTATCTATCTATCTATCCATCCATTCAACTTGCTAGCTGCTAGTAAGCTATGTAGCTATGTGGAAACATAAAAAAAAATTACAGCAGAACAGCCAAAACAGTGTCTGATTTTTGTCTTTTTTTCTCTTATTACTGTATGATTTCATTGCGTCTTCGAACCAAACGCCATAGCAGGTCTCATTACTCCCCTATTCCTTCAAATGTTCCCGCTATTCTTCTGTCAAACATCACCCTCGACACTTGATAGGAGCTGCTTTGTGCCTGTTTGTCCTACTGTATATCCTGGCACATTTATTCAGTCTTCCACCTCTGCTTTTATTTTGTTTGTGTGTTATTGCCTGTTGCTACAATGACCATATGCTTTACATTGCCACACCGAAAAAAAAAAGTATTGCACCTTTTATAAGGTACCAGAGATTAAATCATCGTGTAAAATTCCCAGCATAATACAGTGCCTTCTATCATTTAGACCTGACTGCCTGTAAAAGTATTTCTTCTCCAGTGTAAGTACCACTATTCTGCGGAGAAAATCACAAAACGGGTGAAGCAACACGCAGAAATCTGTGAGAAATACACCACATTATTTAGCAAATGCTGCAGATATGGATCAAAAGTTTTATTATAAGGTAATGAGCTCTGCAAGTCGTTGTAAAAAGCAAAAAAAAGTAGCAAAAGAAAGTACCAGAAAACTGTTTTTTTTTTTTATTCAGCCATTAATTTGTGAGGATTGTTAGGAAACCACCCTGAGGTCACATAATGCCAGTAGAGCTGTTTTAAAGCCTTTATTTATTTATTTCCTTGTCACACTAAACATTATCCTGCTGGAATTATCCATTAGAAAATGGTATACTGTGGCCATGAAGGTGCAAGGGGAAAAAAGGAAGACAAACTATTACTTGCAATCCCTCTGAGTCTAAGAGCTTGTGTCTTTTGTTTTTGTTTATGCTCTTGTAATAATGTGTAATAAACCTCATCTGTGCACTGCACATTACACATCGTCAAAGAAAATAAAATATGTGTTTTCAATGGCGACTTTGTGAACACATTGCAATGAGGCGTTATCAAAAAACGTTTTTAATAAAAGTAATTTTGGGATTGTGAACACATTGCAATGAGGCGTTATTTTAAAAAAAAGTTTTTAATAAAAGTATTTTTGGGATATTAGTCATTTGTATGGAGAAATGTTCCTAGGTCATGCGAAGGGATGTCCGATAATAACTTTTTGCTGATATCCAATATGCCGATATTGTCCGAAAACTCAATTTCCGATCCCGATACTAACCAATATATGCAGCCGTTTGAGTTAAAGCAGTAGTTCCCAATTTCTTCCTGTCATGCGCCCCCTTGTGGACAGAAATATTTCACACCTGTCATGCGCCCCCTTGAGGACAGAAATATTTCACACACCCCTTCCCCCGCCTCTCCAAGAAACACCCCCACAATTTGAAATACTATTGAGAACCTGATAACATGTATATTTTTTATCTGTACAAACCACTGTGAACCATGAGTTGCTGCCACCTAGTGACTGGAGGCTTGTTGTCATTCTAGCATTACAGCAGTGGTACATGCGTGGTATATTCCATTGGAAGCCCCTCAAGCCCCACCTTTCTCTTTCACTTAAAAACTATTTTTATGTTCATCATCATGGTGAAACTCAGGCATTACCCGATATTATCGGACATCTTGAAAAACTTGAGGTATTTAGTCTTGTTTTTGACTCATCACAGGTGTTAGGCATGTGGATCTGGTCAAAACTAGCAAAAATAATTTGGTGCCGTCTTATAAATCCATCTATTTTTAAGTTTCTAATGAGCCTTTTGCGTCCCATACTTTTTATCATCTTAACTAAACTGGTGTTCAGTATTGATTCTCCCCTTTCCCATCTGCCTGTGTCTGCTGTAATGAATGTGATCACACTCACCTGTGTCTGTCGTTAGCCTCCCTGGTGTCACCTGGTGCCCTGGGTATATATACCTCTCTCCTTCACCCTGTCTTGCTGAGATCATTGGTAACCATAGTAGTTAATAGTGTTTGCTACATTTTTTTTTTGGTGATGCTTATGATTCTTTTTGTGGAAGATTGCAATGTAGTGATTGGGCCCGTCTTTGATTTTCGCAAAAGTTTGTTGTTTCGTTTTCTGTCTGTAACATTATGTTGCATCCATTTCTTATTTACTCATTCCCCTTCATTTACACGTCTGTGGTGTTTTCTTTATTTCCGCCGTTTTCCCTTCGAGATTTTGAGCTTTGGTATTAAGCCTGTTTATGTGGGTTTTTTTTTTTTGCTACATTTTACAGTCACATCAAAAAGTACATAAATCTCAATTCGCTTCTTAGTTGTCAAGGAAATTACACTGAGAACATGTTTATTTCCAATGGTTCAATCAATGTGTGAAGGCTATATTGGTTTCAGTTACTGCGCCGAACGAAGCCTACAACGAGAATAAATGTAATAAAAGCGTAATTTCAAACAGGATGTATGATATTGAGATATGCAGATGAAAAACCACACAGGTTATTTAGCAGCAGGGTATGACTGTGAATGGCTGACAGGCATCGGAACAGATACGGAATAGTAACATTTGAAAAACAGAAAATATCGTTGACAAGCAGATTGAGATTTCTGGTGATTTATGGAGTTAGCGGTGGAAAACGAACAGTATGCAATTCTGGCGTGAGCCTGGAGATAATGACCGTTCACCTCGAACTCTGACTCATAGAAGCTTAGCTTTAGCTATACACAGAACACTGCTAAGCCATACATTGGATTGTTGTGATTTTTTGGGGAACTTTTTGCCCTTCATTATGACTCCCAGGCGTGAATCAGACTCTTCTGATGTTTTTATGTCCTAGACTGAGATGTTAGCATGGTGTTTATGCTTATGTACAGTATGCTAGTTCTGACCGAAAATCAAAATATGTTACATCAGTGTTTCCCAAACTTTTTTTCTGGCTACCCAAATTTTAAAAGTCACAAACCTGGGAACCATGATGCGAGACGACCCCAAAAAAAACTCTGAGGGTCGCGACCCAGTCTTTGGGAAACAATGTGTTACATCGGAGGAAGTCGAAGACCGGTTGTAATTTAGACATAACTATATATATGTTTTCTTTTGATGATTTAAATATTACAGTTGTATATGTTTTCAGTGTGAGGCTTGTTTACCTGGTGGTTCCATTGTGTAGCGGTTAGCATGCCTGCCTCAGAAGCAGACAGCCCTGGGTTTGATTCCCAAAAGAATATGTTAGGATTCGAAGATTTAAACCAGGGGTGTCAAACATACGGCCCGCGGACCAAAACCGGCACGCTGGTAAAATTAATTTCATTATATTTAATTTACATAATAACTACAGTATATTCACGTACAATTAGGACTTGTATTTTTGAAAATGATATTTCATTATAATTAATTTACATAATAAGTATATTCACATACAATTAGGACTTGTATTTGTACTTGTATTTTTGGGTAATTATGTTATAATTGTACTGATCCGGCCCACTTTACCTCTAACCAGGCTGTATGTGGGCCCCTGAACCACGATGAGTTTGACATTGGTTTCAACATTGTTACCATATTCTGTAATATGATAGGCATAAAATTTGGGTTCACACACACATGCAAACACACCCACTCACACCCATGGGACACACACATGCCCTATTATAAAATACTTTATAGATCTTGTGGGGTTTTTTTTTTATCGTCAACCTGTTGTTATGTTCCTGATATTTTATTCCTTTTTTTTATTATAGTCTTCTTAACAAATCTTGTGTATAACGATGACATTGAAGTAATAATACACTATTACTCCACTGGCACAGGCAATGACCCGCAGTGGACTTCTTTTTTTTTTTTTTTCCCGAACCCACTAATGGCTTATTGCATAACAACACCTTCGCGTGTCCTTGATTGCGAACTCTTTTCATCACCATTTTGAAAGCGACCGGTGATGAACAAGCACATCACATCACACCGCACCGCAGATCACATCGCAAAGCAACAGGAGAATGCTTGACCTCTGACTCATTGCACCACATCG